TGGCCCAGCTAACCAATCGCAGCACACACTGGACCTGCTAACCAATCACAACACACACTGGCCCAGCTAACCAATCACAACACACACTGGCCCGAGTGCTGCCAATCACAGCACACACTGGCCCGAGTGCTGCCAATCACAACACACACTGGCCCAGCTAACGTCTTTCAAATGTAATGAAGTTAGTCATAAGTTTCCAGAAAAAATAATACTCAAGTAAAGTACAGATACTCAAAAAGTGTGCTTAAGTACAATACTCAAGTAAATGTACTTAGTTACTGTCCACCTCTGGTTTTAGTACACCCCCAAAACAAAATCAAGACTTTGTAAAAGAGCATAATAGGACCCCTTTAAATGATGATTAAATGAATTCTGATTGTTGATAAAAACCTTTTTGTTACTTAGTATAGAAAGTCCTTTTTTTAAAAGACTAGCTTAACTGTAAAGAGCTATAAGCTACTCATGCTTTAAGTTTTTGTGTAGTTTCCCCAACTCTGCACGTAGAGTCCAAACAAGGGGACTGGATGCTTGCAATACGTTTGCACACTTGTGTAGAGTACAGTGTTTCTAGCCTTAGATTGTGTGTTTGAAGCAGAAATGTGATGCCATGCATGACTGTCCTTAAAGTCACGTTGACCACTGACCGCTCTTGCACGCTCCCTGCAGTGTGCAGGTGTTGTTTGTGTATCTGTTGTGTCTGATCAATGTGTTTGTTTCTTCTCTGTGCTTGCTGAAGTGGAAAAGATTTGAAGACGTACTGGGACTACAAGCAGGCCGCAGGGGCGTATCAGCAGGCCTGGACACAGCTGCGTCTGCAGGCCTTCCCGCTGTGGCCCCGCAGCCCGCCAGAACTGCTGCTGTTCTCCTAGTGGACTGGACTTTTATCATATCAGTGTCCTGAACGGATAGCATGAATAGAAGCTGTATCTTGCTCTAAAGGCTCCAGCAGAGTTCACATAAATAAATGTAAAAAAAAAAAATCGACTGTCTTCTATTAAATAAGTGTAAAATGCTAAGCGCTACTTGAAACAACAGGGGCCTCATTTATAAAATGTTGCGTATAAACCTCCTAAATTTGTTCTAAGATCATTTCTCAAAAGTGCGATTCAGAGAAAACGAACGTGCGTACGCCTCTGTCAACAGATGTGACATTTATAAATCGCAAATGATCTTGAAATTGTGCACAGCTGACTGGTGTCAGATCTCCGCCTTGTAAACGCCCCCTAATTAATATCATTACCATATAAAAGAGCACACACCAATATCAGAATTTCTATGCTTGAGAATGACGAGCACAAAGAAAAGTCTGAAATTGAGGTCCTGCTGGCGGAGGTAGAGGTT